GGGGGGGGGGGGGGGGGGGTGGCCAGGATTTGACTATTGCAGTCTTGTACTAAAAGTCCTTCCATAGCGTAAAATTCATAATTCTTGAAAATTCTTACATTTCATAAATCTGATCAAAACATATTCCAACACATTGGATAGAATATAAGAACCACTATAATTTATTATAACGTTTTTGACTAATTATTGAACTTTGATGACACGATGAAAAGTGAAAACTAACATTCTAAGGTGTCGTGTGCGAATATCCATTATCCACATCATTTATTTAGTCTATTTTATTTATGATGGAGTGATGAATGATTATCGATTTGATAATTTTAATCAAGAGTTGTTCTACATGTACACGGTGAGGGTTCTGTCCTCACCGACAACTCACATAGAGGCGGGACCCACTTCAATAAAAAAATTACCCCCCTATTTGAGTTGTCGGTGGGAGTTCTGTGAACCTCCACCTTGTACATGCAGAACAACTATTTCAATCAATGATTATAAGCGTTTTAAAATTCATTGATTAATGGAAAATATTGTGAAAGGTGCAAATCTAATCAATGGTTGGGACCATCTCAATAAAAATAAAATTATCCACCCCTATGTGAGTTGTCGGTGAGGATTCTGTGAACCTCCACCCCACCCTGTACATGCGGAACTATTTTAATCAATGATCATAAATGTTTTAAAATTCATTGGTTAATTGAAAATATTGGGAAAAGTGCTAACCTAATCAATGGGGCCCTTGAATGTACAAGCTTTTGCTTCTTGGCCATAGACAGATTTGTACTTCAATTCTTTTGAAATATTCAACCATTAACTAGCCCCTAATAATATACCCATATAATAGAGCTCAGCATAATAGAATACTTAAATGAGTAAATAAAATCATCCTCTTTGATAACTTTAGAAAAAAAAGAACGTATTCTGGTAATTTTTTTTTTCTTGATTAAATTCCTTTTCGATATCTTAAATAATATTACATCAAAATACGCAAAAAGAAAAAGAAGAACAATTCTAGCTATTAATGTATAATTTGTGCTTGAATGGGCGGCAATACAGTAAAAAGATTGAAAATTTACCGTGAAGATGAAGTTGTATCCACGCTTAAGGACTTCCAGAAGAAAAAGAGTTCTTCTCCACATCATCTTGATAAACTCATCGGACATGTAAAGCTTTTCTCCGGCGAAATCTCCGCCGTCACCAACCAACTTATAACAGTTCAGCCGCCGGAACTTGCACCGATCATACGCCATCTGATCCATGGCGACAATCAACAAATGATCCACCAATGACCTAGTTTCTTCTCCAACCCAAAAGCCCTCAAGAAAAAGATCAAAAATTGTTGGATATTCATCTGCATGTGGCTCTACGTAGGCTTTATTAACAATGGATATAATCACAGTCTTGTTGCCCATTGAAGCCTTCTTTAAAGCTATTTCCAGTTCATCTTTCACTATCGCCTGTAAAGAGAGAACACAATTAGTTTCAGTTATTAATAAATCAAGAGGATTTTTCTACAGAAAATTGAGATAAACACATAAATTTTCTTACAGAATTTGGTACTGAGAATGAGTGTTTCTTGGAGGGAAAAAAACTTTTGCCCATCAAGGGATTCCAAGAACAGAGAAGAATAACGGTCGCTAGTAATAGAGAGATAATTGCAAGATTTGTTATGGAATTCTTGGAGTAATCCATGGTGAATTATTCTCTATCCTGATGGACACAAATACTTTTTTGTAATCTGATCTATGGGGGTGGGTCCTTGGGTGTGGGGAAAAGGGGTTGGAGATTCATGCAATGCACCTGAAATATAGGCTCCCAATATTTCAATGGCATTAGTGTGAGAGGTATAATCACTTAATTCTACATTTTATTGAACTTTTCACTTAACATCACCTACACTGGTGCTACAATTAGCACCAGTGATAAATGAAAATAAATAATGCTATTTACAGTCGTTCACTATCGTAATCGTCATATGTGACATACATGTAGCGATTAATAATTTGATGCATGAGACAATAAAAAATTATCATATTAATGTATCAAATCACTAATCGTCACATGTAAGCCATGCAGGACGACATATTAATTTAAAATGATGTATCAATAAATTGGACAATAGTCTTTCCATACTACGGGAATATATATATATAAGAATGAAAAGAAATTTATAATTTAGTTAATCAGATTCAATTAATACTTATATGGCTTTTATTTTAACACCTGTTACATTATCGTGTATGAGGGTCACGAGATTTAAATGTCTTATTTGTAGAAACAATTTATTGTCTACTTTTCTTAGAGAAATGTCTAAAGGAGGCGAAAGCGAGAAGACTAGATATGTGACAATCATAATAGACTTGACTTGTATATTGCGTGTCATTTGGGTTATTTTCTTTATTTTCTTTTAAATGTCATTTTTTTTTTCTACGTTTCTCGAGTCAAGCCAATGTCGTAGAATTGTATGCCATTTTAGTAGGAAACGTGAACACGAGTTTTAAGCATAGTAGACAAACGGTTTTTGGTTTACAAGGGAATTGAGGTACTCCGCGTACTCAATTTACTTTTTCGGGATAAATTTCAAATACTTACAGATGATATCAAAGACGTGCTCAAAGATGATTTTATGCTTCTTTTACTAGAGAAATCTTGATAAAGTATGTAAGTGAAAATTCTACATCGATTAAACATGGAAATTGTCTTAAGTTTATAAAAAGATTGAGTTACTTCATATGAGTCCCTAAGTGCTTATGCTCGAGCTTGTTTGAAAAGTGTTTATTAACATTTTTACCTGTAAATAGATATAAATGAGTTGTGAATAAGTCGATTGCGTCTCATAAATAATTATTTAATGTATAAATATCTCGAGGAAGCTATTTTCAAATTAAGATACCAAATTTTGTACCATTTGAAGTCGGTTGATAGCGTGGACCACTTGCAATTCTCAATTCTATAGACGCCATTAAACTAGAAGAAGGCTTGCCAAACCTCAACAACGTGGACTACTCCCTAAGATTTGGACTTTTATTAAAATTTACTAAAAATCTGATTTTTTTTAATCTAACCAAACAAGGGTATAATATACAATTACAATAAGTCCCGTTTGGTTTCGTTAAAAAATAGATTTTTAATAAAAATTGGTGAAATATTTGGACGAAAGTTGATAAAAGTTGTATATCTATTAAACGTGTGATTAAATGGGGTCAAACAACGATTAATTAAATTAAAATATTTAGTTACCAAGAAAACATGATAACTAAAACTAATTGAATGGAAAAATAAATACATGTAGCCAAAACAACTTTGATAAAATTTAGAAGTTGCTGCATCAAGGACACATTCTGTATTGAAAACGAGATTTTTCTTAACTGACTTCGTTTAGCATAGTTTTGAAATTATTACTAGTAAGAAGAATTAAATATTTTACCTGAAGGGGGGAAATGTTCTATGCTGCGGTGAATCCTTCCCGTGTTGATATTTGACAAGATGGAAAGGTTGTCATTTGTGCACTAAATTTATACTCTTGGTTGATGCATGTATTGTTGTCGACAATGTATTGGATGAAAAAGTCGTTCAGAATTTAAAATGTCCATTCGGGTAATATCACGTGGTAAAGTGTACACCAAAGCGTAAATGTAGCAAAATTCATAAGAAAAATCATTTTTCAAAACAGAGTTTTTGCTCAATTTATAATATTTGCATACTTGGTGCTTGTTTGGATTTGTTTATAAGTTGCCGAATGAGTATGGATGTATGAATAGTAATTGTGAATCTTGCGAAATATATTGTTAACATTACAATTTGATCTTGATTTTTGAATTATGATGTGATTATAATCGAATCCAAACAAGTACTTAGAGACGGAGAGAGGAGTATTAAAGAAAGAAATAATGTAGCTCCTATATATATAGGATAGGTGGTGGGTTAGGATAGATGTTAACTAGAGAGAATTCTAGACGTCCTTTTTGTAATAGTCCTAAATAGTTGTGTAGTACATTGGATAGTCGAATGGCTTAATTACGCATTAAGTGGGTGTTTGATGGGGATTAAAATTAGATTTTTAGTAGATTGTAATAAAAGTTTTTAAAATATGTGGTTGAAAAGTTGTAGAACCCATAAAAAATGTGATTAATATTGATTGTTTGACTTTGACTTAAATTAAAATATGATTTTAATTGGAAACAAACAAGGCCTAAATGAACTAAGATTTTGCATTAAATGCACGTATCTCGGCATCACTGGTTTGGAGATAAAAAAGTGCATCTTCAATTCAGATGAGCAGGATGTGTGCCTAACTTTACTAGTTGATCAAACAATGCTCTTTCATAGTCATTTAATCAAATATAGCATAATCAGTTACATATGTCGGATCTTTATTTCACCATAACCATTAAGAAGAACCCTCAAAAAAGGTCGTCATTACCTTTAAACTTTTCTCTTCTCCTACCCCAACATATTTCATTTCCTCGTGTTTATTCATTAGATCTTTACTTTCCCCTTTCATTCATTTGAAACTTTTCTTCCTAATACGTAGAATCCTTATTTTTTCCTCTCAATTTTTTTGCATATTTGAAATTATTCGTAACACATTATATATTTGTCATGAAGCATCAAGAGTTGCTTGTGTTTGAGTCGCCTCAAATCAAGACATAACAAGTTCAAGTTTTAAATTTTTATGGTAATCTCAAATATTTATGAGTATTCTTTTTGGTTTTGTACTCATGATTTTTTTTTTTAATGATTATTGCATTAACGTGTTGGGAATTTTAGGTTTTTGAGATTTATTTTATTTTAAAACATTTACATCTCTCCAAACTCCCCGAACTTGAGCACATTCATGGTCAATGAGTTTATTTTTTTATGTTGCTATCTTATTCGCGAGTCTCTAACATGCCTCGTTGAGCCGACAAGTAAAAATGTAATATAATAAAACATAGTACGTATTGAGTAATATTTGATATAACCGGTGTTGATTTATATTTTCTCTATTAATCATCTCGGTGACTTGCAAATAGCTATTTTGAAGGACTTGTGAAATATTTATGTTTATGTTACTTGGAATAACCATTCTTATGTGCTGAAAGTAGCTCTATAATCTGATCTTCCATGATAAACAATATATTTTGTATTTAGAACAATTATGGATACAAATTTCTAAGTATGATCAATTTTCATATTAAAAATTTGTGTTGCTTGGTGACATAGCTAGAAGCTCACTCGAGTAGATGCATAAAACAACACCAGTCCAACTTTAATCATCATCTAACCTTCTCAATATCAACTTAAAATCTCCATTTAAAGTTCCAACTAACGAACCGAAAGATACGAAAGAAGAAGATGCAAGAAACCTTCCAAAAGTTCGAGTTTGGGGATTTTAAACTAAGAAGTTTTGATTAAGGACCAAATTAAATACTTTGGGACCGAATTGGCCAATTTCCCTTAAAACGAATTCCTCTCGAGTCACGTCACGATAACAGGGAGAGAGAGAAAAATTAATTAAAAGAAAACGACACTCGGCTAAGAACCTAAGCTCGGAGCCTGAGTGTCCGAGCCATTACGCTCTATGTAGTCGAATCACTCGAAAGGAGCCCTAGTTTTCTCCGTCTCCCTTCACTGCTCTCCATATCTCACGCTGTACAAATTCAAGCTTCTCGTCTCCGTTCCATCCCTCATAGAAACAGACAGGCTGTGAGCGATAATAGAATCAAAAAATTATGTATCGAGATCGAGGGGGAGGAGGAGGCTCATTGAAGGGTGGGGAGATGTTGGATCGGAAGCGAATCAACGATGCGTTGGACAAGCACTTAGAGAAGTCTTCCCCTTCTACATCTAGAAACAAGCCCTCATCTTCCTCCTTACCCTCCACCTCCACCGGTGCCGGGAAGCATATGGACCACCGCGATGCCCGGGCACCGTCAAATCTTAATACCAGCAAGAACAAGTGCTCCGATGGTGCGTAATTTTTTATTTTTTGCAATATGCGAATTTTAGGTGATTTTAGTGGAATTTGTGGATATTGAGTTTTCAGTGATTGAATATATTTTGGGTCTTAAGTTTTAAAATATTTCCATTTTGTAAGCATTGAACTCGAAATGTTCCTGTATCAATATCATATAACGTATTGTGGTGACTCGAAGAGGTGCGGAAGCATTTATGAAATTCTTATAATAAGAATCATATAATAATTAAGTACAATATTGGAATAACTTTCTTGAATGTTATTGAATAATAATTGATTGAATGCCTTTGTAATCATTGGCAAAACCGTTCCCTAATCCTATTAATATAAGGAAAGGAAATTCTAAAAGAAAATAAACCAAAACCCTAATCTATAAGAAATGAGAAATCCTATTCTAAACGAGAAATAAAAATTAAAAGATAAAACCTATTAGAACTGGAAAAGATAAATCACAATTGTATTAAAAAAATTATTAATCATGATTATGTACTACATCACGAAGATCTGGGACACCTGCCAACTACATTCGCATTTCACTCGTGCTAACCTTATTGTTGAATTTTACTGGGAAGTTCTTTAGAATTGAGTTAAAGGAATAGTGACTTATTTTCTTTTGAGGAAAGGAGATAGAGCTTGAATGGGTTTCAATTAGTAAATTTAGTGTGCTGTATTGTAGACTCTTTGCTAGTTTGTATGGTTCTTCATTCTGTGCATTTTGTGAAATTTTATGGAAGAAAGAATTGAGATTGCAGAAAACATTGAATTAAATTAACTTTTGGAAGTATAATGGTGAAAAGAAGCCCTTGTTTGCTGGCAAGATAACTTACCACTGTTAAGTTACTGTGGTGACATTGGGAAGGGATTTCGCATGTTTATTCGAATGAGTCAAAATATAAAGAGCAATTCTTGAAAGTACAGTTAGAGAAATGGTTTAATTTTTCTTGGGAATTTCTGATATATGCATCAGTATGTTTCTCATGGTTTAAAAAGGCGGTCTTTATGCATGCCTCAAGCTGTGGCGTAGGCACCAGTACCTCAAGGCGCTACATCAGGTGCTTTTTTTGTGAGGAACCTCGTTGAATGAGGCACATGCCTCAAATCACACTCCTTACGTATTTTTTTGTAATTTGAAATTTTTATTCATTGTTTTCAGTGTGAACGTGTATTTCGAAGATAAATCCTAAAGTCTAAAGAGTTTTAATTGGGCCCATCTTCTCAAATGGCCCCATTATATTTATCTAACAATTTAAAAAAAAATCCTAAACCCTTACCCCAATTTCATACCTCACCTGGCTTCTTCTCAAAGAAGGATGTAAAATTGTTTTATTGGAAGAATGTGTGGTTAATATAAGTTTGGGAAAAATTATTTTACTTTTATAATATTTTACAATTTTTTGACTAAACTTTTAGCCTCACGAATGAAAAACTCCTCAGAACCTAGTTCCGCCTTTAAAACATTGCATCTCTTATGCTAATGGTTCTCAAGTTCCTAGAGCTAAGAGTTGCAGACAGTTTGTTCTTCTGATTTTCAATTTTTAAGAATAAATTTGGATACTATCCTGACACGTGAAACAGAAATCAGGCTGTATGTAAATATTTATGTAGAAATTTATAAAGTTACGTATGTGAAGTAAAATTATCTATATTTCTGTATATTTACACTCATTTGTGTTTCAATTATCTGTTAGCATGGATATGGAATGTATATATTTGTTTTGATCAAACAGGAGTCTGAGACTGTGATGTGTGCTTATTTTGCAGAGGAATCTGAAACAGACAGTGAAGAGTCTGATGTTAGTGGTTCTGATGGAGATGATACGTCGTGGATTTCTTGGTTCTGCAACTTGCGGGGAAATGAGTTCTTTTGTGAAGTTGATGATGAATATATTCAAGATGATTTTAACCTCTCTGGGTTGAGCAGTCAAGTCCCATATTATGATTATGCACTTGATTTAATTCTGGACGTTGAATCCTCTCATGGTAACAATTTTAGTTTGTTCAGAGCAATTTTTGTTTTCCAATGTAACAGACATTACTTGACTTTAATAGTTCTTTCATGGTTATGGTCTCTGTAGCACGAACACTTCAATTAGGGTAGTGTGTTCGGACATGAGTCAATACCGACACTTCTTAGATATTCTACCGTAATCATTTTTCTTTTTATATTAGAAAATTATATATTGTTAATTCAAATTTATTAGCAAGTAACAAATATGTACTCATGTTTAAAAGATTTCAACAAGAAAAATTAATAAAAAGTATAAAACTAAATATATACCGTATAATTGAAGATTTTTTAAGAATTTAACCAACGTGTCGAGTCTGTACTTTTTTTAAAAATCTCGTGTCGACATCTCCGACACGTATCGTGTCGGACACATTTGTCCGTGTCCGTGCATCATAGGTTATGGTTATACTTTGATATTTGTTAAACCCATATGCCCTAAATGCAGCATTCAGTGCCAAGGTCTACTTCTCTTTTTCATTTTTTCTCTTGAAATAGAGAAAAGTTGTCTTTTTTTTTTGTTTCAATGTGAAAATTTGACCTTTAAGGGGTCATATAATTAGAACAGCTGTAAATGCTTTATCTAACAATGAGAATGTTTGATTATAATGTGTCCTTTCAGCTTTTGGAGTGAAAATACCTCTTTATTAAATGCACCTTGTTCAGTTACCTACTATATTCTGTGTTCAAGAACAATCCTTTTATGCTTAAAGTAGGTCTGGCTGGACTTGTTTGGAGACATGGGGGACAAAAATGGAAGAGGAAGACATCTTTTCTAGTTTAGTCCAAAGTCGTGATTGTATTAATGAGAAAACAGGAAATTGACGACTTAAGTATTATGTTATGATTCATGAGGGAGGCGTTTGTGTGATTTTGCCCTTGTTTGGTGGGGATTAATTTTTTAACCACATTTCATGGGACCGTATCTTTTTAACCGCACATTTCATCAACTTTTATCAAAATCTACTAAAAATCCGATTATTAGCTACACCAAACAGGGGCTTTATAATATTTTAGATTTTTCTTTTCATGCTAAAGGAGAGATAATAAATTGTTTTTTTTTTAAATAAAAATGATTTTTCGTGGATTGCAATGCTCTTTTCATACTTTTCCCCTTTTTGCCTTTTGGTTCGGATTGCCTTTTAGTTTTTATTTTCACTTTATTTATTGAAGAGAGGAAATGAAAGAGAGAGGAAAGGGGGAGGGGGAGTTGAGAAGGCTGAAGCACAATACTGCTGGTGTACTTTGGATTGTAAAGAAAAACTGGTCTTAACTTTGTGTCCAAATAACAAATTGCTGCTTTCAGGCCTTTAGATCAATCAAAGTGAAGTTGAGTTCACCGATTAATGAATTTCAGGATATCCTTTTAAGCATTATATTTCATGTGAATTTTACCAGAAAAGGGTACCTTTCATATGGTGTCCTCCAGTAATATGATCATTATATAAGGAAAGTGTTTTCTTGGTTTTCTTATTAAATAGAAGTTTGTGATAAATAACCAGCTTAATACTTTGTTAAAATTGATTTCTTGGAGATGATTGTAGTTTACAATGAAAAGAAAATAAGTTTTTTTTTCCTTAAGAAAGAATTTATTTGATCTCAACTTGAGATTGTATGGAGGTCCTCACGTAAATTATAATTCAGCAGAGTTAATTTTCTTTCTTTACCTGTTAAGTTGCATGAATTCTTCTACGGTAGTGTGAGCTGGTGAGCACTTTTGCTGAACATGTTCTGAATAATTAGAAATTGACCATCTAGCACTCATGTAGATAACTTTCAGCAACATAATAATCAGTCTCTAATACCAGGTTATAATGCAGACATTTTTCAGATCGTTCCCTATAATAGCTAGCTTGGCGGTTGTTTAATATAGGTCTTTCTGATTAAATATTAGAGTAGTTCCTCTCAATTGCATATAGGCTGAGGCAAATATAGTTACTTTTTTGGCAAATGAATCATCTCTACTTGCCTCAACATTGTACTGTAAAGCTTGGTTATGATTTATGTGGTGTTTATGATGTTTTTGAACAAAAAGTCAAATTTTCGCCTGTCTCAACTTCATCCCATTACCTCTGTTTCTTATAATGTGGATTTTGGGAACCATCTATTTAGTGTGGGTAAACTAACTATAGAAGATAGTTGAAGAGAATCATAACTGAAGTACTGAAACTCAATTGGTGCAGCGCAAAATGAAAACTACTGCAGCAACCCTCTGACGCTATCTTTTGAATTATTCCCATACTGGCTTTTAAGTCATCTGTTCAACTTATTTGATACCTTGTCATCTATATGAGAAATTTCTGTCTTTGAACGTAAGTACACCTATAAGACTTTTATGTAGGATCTCTCAATGGAAGTCAGAAGCCTTTTTCTTTAAGAGACATGCAAGCTTTACCACCTCAAGTTAGTTATTACTTCCTGCTATCTCTTGTTGACACTAATAATGCAATGAGAAACTGTCTACATTCTTTAAGTAGAGCCATAGTTTTCATGTAAATAAGAAAGTATTGATTTAATAAATCTTGTATTGTCCTTCGCTTTCTGTACTTCTTTAATTTTTTAGAATAAGTAAAAAATTTGATGCTGAAAAGTTCATATATGGAGAATATATTTGTAGAGGATCTTGCTTGTATGGGGTTATCTTACTCAAGTAATGAGAACAATTTTATTTTAGTACCTTTGAAAACTGGCGATGATAACCATTTAATGTAAATTACCTGTTCAATTCAACACATTTATCGAAATTTCAATTGCGCTAGGAAGCTCACCAGTAATGTAGATAACCAGTTAGGTTTTAAATTGTTTGATCACATGCAAGAACCTGGTAGTTGCTGATTGCATATAGTAACAGACCAGTAGTAACTGTTAACCAAATGAAGATGCTGACCTAAAATCACATGGAGTGTGAATAATTAAAAAGGTCTAAAACCTTTTGTAATTTAACATTTGAGGTGGCCTTGATAACTATGAAGATGATCCTTCATATATCAGAGCATAAAAGGACCTATGTAGCCAGCCTTTGTAAGTTCAGGGCAAGACTCGGTTGAGTCTATCTATAACTATATTTGTGCTGGGCTATTGGACGCATCATGACAAAATTTTCAGTGCTATATCTGAATTATAAATTGTTTGCCCAACCTGAATTGTGATAACAGTAGCATTAGGAAGGAGACAGCGGTTACAACTAATCCCAGTGGCCAGTATGCATTCATAATGTCCGCTATGTGAGAGCCTGTGTTTATCTTGCACCTTACGGATTTCTTTCTCTTCCTCAGGGATTCAAACCCAAAACCTCCCTTGAGAGGTACTTATGTTGAATGTTGGTACCAATTGATCAGATACCTGTCGTTACACACTATCATCCCCATAAACTCATGACCAATCTACCACAGATCTCAATTATTGCAGCAGCTATCAACCGCATAATCATCCTCATAACTATATTGTTCATTTCCAGGAAATACACAAAGTATCTTGATAATAGCAGCATCCAATCCCATGAAATCAGCCGCATAATCATCTCAATTACTGCATATATTATCAGCTGATCTTGATCATATTGTATAGTTGTAGGTTCAATTTATTTCAGTCTAATAATGCGAACTGTACAAAATCTGTATGTGTGTGTATATTCAATAGTGATAATAGACGTGATAAGTAGCTATGCAAAATTTCTGCCTTTATGGCTAGTACAGCATCATCTGTGGTCGAAAACTTTTAGAAAGTCCCAATTATCATGAGCTTCAGTTTAACTAATACTTCCATTTTTGGATTGATCTTTGATAATTGTTTCTAATTTAGAGGCGTGCTTACCTTTTGTTCTCTGTCTCAACTTCAACAAAACCATGGTCCCTTTTGCTGAATTATTTCTCAAACATTTCTATAATAAAGATGCCACTGAGGTTGCAGTTTACTTTTGGCTGTTCTTTCCTTTTCCCTGCCTTGTTAATTGCTGCAATATATTTGGTGCAATTGCTGCTCTTCTCATTTACCCCTTTGCCCCGTTTTCTGAGTTGTATGATGCTGGTAATAATGTTTTCTCATTTATGGGTATGAATAGATGATATGTTTACTGAGGAACAAAATGAGTTGGTTGAATCAGCGGCAGAGATGCTCTATAGTCTTATTCATGTCCGATACATTTTGACAAGCAAGGGAATGGCTGCAATGGTAACATTATTAGTCAGGTTATATTTTTCTTTGGATTTCTGTCCATTTATTATGAGTTATATGACTTGTTGAGATGTGAATTGTACAGTTGGAGAAGTACAAAAACTATGACTTTGGAAGATGCCCAAGAGTTTACTGCTGTGGACAGCCTTGCCTTCCTGTTGGTCAATCTGACATCCCACGTTCAAGTACCGTGAAGATATACTGTCCCAGGTGTGAAGATATTTACTACCCTCGATCCAAGTACCATGGCAGTATCCTACATTATACTAATTTTTCTGAGGCTTCTGCCCTCTTGTTTTATTTGCATTCTTGTCTATGCTGGGTCCACGTGTCTCTCTCACACAATACACTCAAAATCATGTAAAAATGCATTCACTGAATTACGCCCTGGACTCTTGTGTTGTTGAGTATCAGAACCACCACGGTTCAAAAGCTACCAGACAATGCAACAGAAACTAACCACCAATCCCACCTTTGCTACTAAAAGCCCTAGCTCCCAATAAGTTCCATTCTCTTCTTGAAATCAATCGATTCCCATTTTGCTGACCAAATAAACATCTGGCCAATTTTTGGGTTCTGACTTCTTGTTTGGCGTTTCAATGATAAAGAAAAGATTTCCTCTATCAATTATTATCGAAATTTCTTGTATCTCTCTATTATACTCTACTTTTTAATCCTGAATCCTAATAGGATGGAAAGAGCAGCCAAGTTCTACATTTCTTATGCTGTAAAAGATACCCAAGCAACTACTAGATTATCTAAATTTATCCTAGGAACTTAATTAAGCAACTGACTTTGAATTCATGAACGACAAAGGCTGTTTTTGACAGCTAGACGTGTGCATTGAAGCATAAAGGATTTAGCAAGACTTAGACCCTGTTTGGTGCACAGTTTGAGTCCAAGAATGCATTTTTTTGTTTGATGTGATGGGGAATATGTGGTTGAAAAAGAAGAAAAAGTTATTGATGTGATAGAAAATATTATTTTATTGAAAAATGTGTAGTTGAAAATTATTGGAAGAATGAAAATGAAAATTTTAATGTGATTCAAACATGGGCTTAATAAATAATGCATCAATGGGCTTAAGCCATTTCGCAGCATGAACTTTGTGGAAACGATTTCTTTTAACTGACAAAGCTATCGATGGAGCTTATTTCGGTACCACATTCCCTCATCTCTTCTTGATGACATATGGACACCTCAAGCCACAAAAGCCAACACAAAGTTACACACACAGAGTTTTTGGCTTCAAGCTTCACAAGCCTTGACCAGAGGAGTTTCCAGTAGGTCGAATTGGGATCAAATTGACTGCCCAGAATTGGTGTTCATCTGGCTTCGATGATGTACAAGTTCTTAAGGAGATCACAAGCTAATCATGATAAGCCAGTTAACCAAAGAGAGATGAATACGAGGATATTGAATAATTAATGAGGTGCACTGTCTTGCAAATTAGACGTTTAAGCTCTTTCCATAAGTTCGACAGAGTATATGTAATTTTTATTTCTTTTTCAGGTTTGTAACTGTTTGAAATACTTCTGAATTGTTGCTCGTTGTGTGTCGATATATTGGAGCTATATTTTCCTATGGAGCAGCGATGTAGTACTGTTTCCAAATGTAATCCTGCACGAAGCTGTTAATGTTTACATAGTAGTGTTGAGGGCCTTGAGGCTGACAAAAAATGGGAAAATGAGTCTTCACATTGTGTAATTGCGTTGGGAAATCGCACTTACCATTAGGACAAATCTTTTGAGTTTGCACGTGGTTATTTATCTTATTCCTGTTTGACCTGGTGAAATGAAAGTTTTCGGGAGACAATTTCGTCACGAGTAATGTTATTTATCAAGATTGCTCATCATCAACGGTCCAGGTGGCATTAATTTATTTTTTATTGATTATTAGTTTATATATTTGCCACTTAATGGGCTGGTAAATTCGTCCATTATGCGTTGATGTAGACGTGATACATAGAAGAGTTTGATTTTGTGAATATATAATCATTTCATTCCATCGGCTTCAAAAACAACAATTTTAGAAATCTAGAATTGTTCAACGTTAAAGCATATTCGATCATAATATCTCGATGAATTATAGTTGATTAGGAATGAAGCAATCTAACAAAAAATCACCTGATAAGACAAATTCCAAAATAATGGATGACTCTATTAGTCTTAATCAATCGATAATTTCTAAAAATCAATCAATAGAATATTATTCAATCACACATTTCCAACTCATCAAGAATTTAACCTGCTCCATTTGAAAAGGAAAACAAATGACAAGTGGATACTTTGCACAATTGCCATCCTTTTCAAAACTCATGTTTTTAATTTTCAATTTTACCCAATTTTCTTCTCTTTTATACATTTTCACATTTTTATAAAACAGAGAGAGATTGATACTATTAAAGATTTGAGTAATTTAACAGATTATTCAAACTGGATCTAAATTCATCTCGTTCGATATTTATGTCTTGAATCAAGATTGAAATTATTAGTTAGTTGTCCTAACTTCAATTCCAATAGAAGTAGATTAGTATCCAACATATATCGTTTTATTTACCGCCTGAATTCATGTCAAGTACGCAAGATTAGTAATTCACACTCTTCAACCATATACTCATACTATTGAATGATTGAAAAATAGGCTCAGAAATATTAAATATCATCAAAATATATGATTCGAGAAAAGTGGGCCCTACTTTGTTGGAAAATTTCGTGTATGGAGTAACAAACAACGCCGGGAAATTCTTCAAATTACCTTTAAAATTCTGTAGAAATTGACTCCAAATAAATCCTTAAAAATGTGCAGTATAGCAACAATAATATCAACGTCCAGGCAAGTGTTGAACACTTTGTCCTTAAGTCGAATTTGCCCCATAACGGTGCTTACGGTTTATGGCAATCAACTCCTAAAATACAACGATTATCTTCTTGTGTGAGTATCACTACAATACACAAGAAACGGCGAATCAGAACTTGGTTTACGAACTCCGGTGTGCAAAGTGGAGAAAATCAGAATTTATGCAACAAGAATGCAAGAATTTGGTTAGAAATGAGAGAAAATGAATGCTATATGATTGCATAACGTTGGTGTGAAGATTGAGACATCCCTAGGGTCCTATATATAGATGTTGAAGGGTTGTGGATGAAGTAGTGCAAGCCAAAACACAACAGTGGCGCGTTTCCAAATTTTCGTCCGATGTCCGCTCGCTACATCACTCGAGCAACACTTTCAATGAGCCCGTCGCTCACTGTTTGCTCGAGCAAGCAATACTGTCACGCGAGCGACGGTGTCATCCAATCTTCTATCTTTTTTCCTTCCAATTTTAATTTCTTATTTATCCAAAATTGGTTTTAGACTCTAGTTATACACAAAATCAAATTTGGGGCGAACCCCCCATTTCAAAACGACAAAGAACAAATAAACGAGTTACATTTTGGTCGAGGTTGACATGAAGTCATACCCAATGCTTGGTTTTCGATTCTTAACCAATCTTTCTCGAGTTTAAAACCAACTTCCAACACTCTCTACAACAGTTCCTTTAGAGAGAGACTATTGTTTTTTTCTTCTGTAGTTTGGTTCTTTTACTAAAAAAATAAAGGTCAAAAAGACCACTCCATAGCCCTTTTAAACTTCTACAATCATTTTGTCTTTTTAATGCTTTCTACTTAATGGATTACATTCGGCCAATGAAAGCTAAACTGGTCACAAAAGTAACAATAATGGAAAGAACTGGACACGAAAGTAACAATAATGGGAAGAAGCACGGAATTTTGTGACATTAGCATATGCTTTTCACTTAATTTATTTTACCAACTTAACCTTTTGGCTATCGCGATAATTACGTTAAAAATTAATTTAAAGGATATTTTTTAAACATTAAACTCCACTTACATTTATCGATAATTTTGTACATGTTATGTACACGTAAAAAAAAAAAAAAATACTTCTGCATATTCTTATCGAATATCAAGATACCATTGATTCTAACGATCGATAACACTAAAGTTATTTTGAGATCGACGACTTAAATAGTTTATGTTAAGTTTGTGATGTATTTATTATGTTAGAATTGATAGAATATATCTATATATTTCATTTTTCTCCCCGAGTTGTTGATTTAACGTCGAGAAATGAAAGACTACTACTACTAACGGATAGGCCACTTAACGGTCCTGCTGCCCTACAAAAGGTCGCGTCTTCATATTTTACTTTCCTTTGTGGCTCCACTCTCGAGTCCAACTCTGGTCGAAACAACCCTTATCACTTCTCTTTTTCGTGTAAGAAGATTTTCATCTTTGATTTTAATTTAGACATAGCCATCCTTTTTTTTAGTGTATAATTCAATCATGTAAATACTTTGCTACACGTCTTTTTCTTCAATTATGTTTAATTTTTACATGCCAAATATGCTGGGTGTGTCAAATTTAAAACTACAAATTTGAGTTATTATATATGTGATCGAGATGGAAGATGTTAGTGTGTATATGAGGTTCAATCATGCTACAGGTACATCATTTTTGACATTTTCTTTTACATTGTATAGCGTGATAATATATCATTGAACAGTTTAAGAAAAACAATTTTCTGCCTGAGGATGTCATCCTGAACGTAATATGAGGTTTTGCATATTATTTTTGAAGTCAAAAACGTCTCGTCAACAATTGTATCTGTATCAGCTCTCATAAATCTATGTTGTAACCTACGAATATGATGAATCATTTAATATTTCAATAACATTATTTATTAGTTGAGAATATTATTTTTGCCGGATGATTATTAATTAATATCTTATGTTAAAATGAATAATTGGGTTGACTTAGCATTACTTTAGACATGATTAATAATGTTATATTGCTTTAATGATAGTGTAGCAATGGATAATTTGTTTAATTTTGACTGAGTAGTCAGAAATACTTGCACATCACGGAATTTTTTAGATAGAGATTTATTTTCAGAAATTTTCGGCTAAAAATGAGAAATAAAAATAATTTTCTCTTTTCTTTTTTGGAGGCGTTAAATAAGTATTTTCTACACTGTTTTGCGCCTAATTTGAAGCTTTTTTCTAATTCATTTGAGATTATTACTCTGTTGAGAGATTCGATGAGTCAAACGTTTCATAATGTCTATTTAATAATCCGCTTCTTCAATCAAATAATTTGATTTCTTTGGGCCAATTATTGACTCAAAAAGGGCCATCAAAGTTGAAATTTTCTATTGTTATTTATATAAATAAATAGGATTTCATTCGTTACTAAGAATTTTTTTTCATTTATTTTGAAAAGGTTCGCCATTAAAGTCTAAAGATACTCATTTGTATTTCTCGTAAAAATAGAAGGACCAAAACGAAATAAATATTGGATCTATCAAGCAGTGGCCAATTCGGTAATAATCGATAGATAAGGGGCAAAAATAAAAAAGCAAATAGTTTATAAGCAGTCACGGCATTTTACGGCCGGTCGCCATTGGTAATAATCCTTTTCTCAGACACCATTAAACTCCTCGTAGCGTCCGCTCTCTCTATCTCTCTCTCTCTTTCTCTCACATGCACGCACTAAATCTTTTATTCACGCACATATATATAGTATATACATGCGTATACGCGCAGGAATTCATTCCAACCCACACCTCCATCCATTTGAAGAAACCTAGAAATTGCAGAAAATCAAGAAAAGAAACACAAACTGCCTGTGAATAAAGAAATTGAATCTGTTTTGTGAATCTGTAAGCTTTCGTTTTATATATGTAATGCGTCAGAAAAAATCTGAAGTTCAGATCGGAACAGAAAGCAGTGGCATCTCTTCCGATTTCAACCCTACCCCACTGCCCCCTTCTTCCCTTACACAAAAACACCCTCATCTTTTCCAAAATTTTCACCCAAATACACACTATCCTTCAAATTCGTCGTCTTCTGTGAATAATAGCACCCTTCAGATCCTTATCAATGATGAAAATCGACTGAAGGGTCAAAATGATCGGTTTCCCCTCAAACCCTCACCTTTGAAGAGACCTAATGTTCAGCAATTTTCGAGTTCACTTTCCAAGACTCCGACTTTGTCAAATGCCCTTCACAGATATGGGTTTTCTGGACAAAATCCTCCTTCAAAATTTAGTCTTCTTTATACAAGGTCTCAAAACTTCTTGACCCATTTTCACCACCATGTTCATTTTCTACGCCGTCGAATGCGCCTCCACCTCCGCCTCATACTCCTCCTCAGTCTCCCTTTCTTTTACTTCTTGGTCTCCCACCCTTCCAGCTCGTTTTTTC